AGGATTCGGGGTTTAGCGGGTTTGGTTTAGATTGTTCAGACGCTTAATTGATTTGTTTCTGTTGCGGAGGCGGGGGGGTCAATCAAGACTTAGGGCTTCGGGGTTTGGGGTCTGTTCAGGGCTGTTGGGCTTCTATTTTTTTGTGGGGTTTGGGTTTTTCGGGCTTGGGGCCCGGAGTCCGAAGTCTTGGCCTCTTCCATGGCTTTTGTGCAAACTTTGGAGGAGCCTCCGCCTTCTCGTCCAGCCTTTCAAACATTTGCGTGCGGGCTCAGGGTTCGGCGCCGAGGTACTCTTCTGTGTTGAAGTGGGGCTGAGGTCTCAGAGTCAGCAGCTTCCGGGTTGAAAGGGGACAGGCTCTTGAACGGACTTTCGTTTGGTTTACCGAGATTCTGCGACGGAGCCTCAAGCTTCGAACTCCTTCAGTCCTCAAGCTCGCCATCCGAAAGCCAAGATCCAGCGGCCAACACCTCGTCCTTAAGCGAATCAGGGGAGATCCCCGAGAAGCAGCAGCAGTTTGCCCAGAAAGTGGCGCGAGCCACTGACATGCAAGGAGTAGTGAGTAGTGAGGGCGAGGGATCAAGCTGTTGAGAGGGAGGGCGAAAGAGAGAAGTAGGGAACGGAAGAGAGAAGGAACGGCAAACAACGGCTTTCGAGCTTTGGATTCAGGAATGCAAGGATCTACAATTCCTTGGGGCTATGCCGCAACGATATGCGCATATTCCGAAACAGCCTGTTTCTGCTTCCGGTCTGACAAGTTTGGGGCTTCGAGGTGTGCTGTTTGGCTTAGTTTGGAATCTCACATGGCAGCCGAGAGTGTATAACGTGAGGAAGAACATGTGGCAGGGAATGTGCCAAAGAGTGAGAGAAGGAATGAATCTAGAGGAATGTACACTTACCTACGCTATCACATTCGGTTCCTTGATGTTCCTTAACATGACTTGATGTTCCTGAACATGACTAGAGTACAACACATACGCACACGCCCCCAAAACCATGTTCGAATCACTCAGGCCGACACTCTCAAGATCAGCCTTGAAGGTGGCGTATGAGCACAGCCCATGTTCCTTCCCAGACTTCAAATATGGCTCGACAGGGAGATCGATGGCTTTAAGTGACGGCTGAAGCGTGGGCCAGAAGATCCAACATCCTAGGACCAATATAGCATAGGCGTGGCGTCTGAAGAGCTAGTGTAGAGTTTAGGGGTAGGATATACTATAGTTTCATAAAAAACGGCGGAATCGCTTGCTAGTTGCTCGGAGTTTTACTTTATGTTGGCCGCCACAGTCCGGGGTTGTTTAGGGTGAGGGTTCTAGATTTTACAGGAGCTCCCCTTGAAAGTACTTCTGTTGGAAGCTCATACAGGACCCGCCAAAAAACTGTGATTTCAACATCTCCAAGCCGAGGCGGCACTGACCCGACTGAAGAACGTCGGTCTAGTGGACGAGTGGCTCGAACTGCACACCTTGATTTGGGAGTTGCAATCGAGGATTCTGGTGCATCGGATTGTCAATCCTGAAGGGGGCACCGGCCGCTCCCTGGCCCCACCGCATTTTGGAGTTATGGGGCTTTTCGCTCGCGGGATCAGGGATCGTGGATCCCAAACCCTGGAGCCACCGCAGTTTCAGGTCGGGTCATACCCATCACCACCACCACCATCGCCACCATGACGAGCCATCGGCTGATGAACCGAAGCCGAGCCAGCACATCAGGACTGTTTACTGGTTCTGGATCTCGGGTTTGGGAAATTGTTGGGGTAAAGTGCCACTACGTGAAACGGTTACAGGTCTTGAGTTGAGGGTTTGCCTCCGGCTTGCTGAGGGTTTACTGTGTCAAGTTGGAGCTGGGGTTGCTCAGGCTTGTGCTTTTTGGGGGCTGACATTCCCATGATGGAACTGTTGTCTGAAGTGTCCAAGTGTTTGCGATTCTGCCCGACATGGAGCTCCCTTTGGCCGCTGTTGTTGGGGAGGGATGTAGGGTCTAGGATGCTAGCCACCGGATTGTGTATTTCTCCTTGATGGTTCAGGCCTGCCACGCGGGCTTTCGGTGAGTTTCAAGTACGAAACTCTCAACCTCAAACGTCCAGCAACAAGCAGACAACAGACCCCTACTTCCCAAAGCCGAAAAGCAAGAAGACTCGAAGATGCTTTCACGGCCCCCTTGCGTGGAAATAAAACTCAGGGATGACTCTGGGTCAATGCAACGTGGGGTGGGCTAACGTGCCGTCGTCGGCGCACTTGGATCCTCGCCCGGCTGCTAGAGCCCGAACCCCTACAGCCCAAGAAACGCCGACTAACGCCGAAACCTAAACCCTAAACCCCAAACACCCTTAAAGAAAACCCCAAAGCCATAAAGCCCCCAGAAGCAGGAGCGAGGAGCAATGGGGAGCCGTTGCTTCAAGAACCGTCTCCGGAGTCCGGCTGAAGGAAAGGGAATAATAGGGCCTGTGGGGTTTTTGGGTTTCGGGGTTTAAGGTCTAGGGGTTCGGCTTGTGGGGGTTTTAAGGGTCGAACCTGAACCCTGTTCCGCTCAGTTTTGCAGGCCGGGGGGTTTGGATTTGGGCATTCAAGCTTAGGGTTTCAGGGCTGTAAGGTTTTCGGTTTTCTGGGTAAGAGCTCTGAGGCCTTCGCTAGGAGTTCTAGTGACTTTCTTGCATGTGCAAGAACCTACATTTAGGCATGTTTTCTTTTTTATTGTTGTGTTTTCTTCAAGCTTGTAATGTTCAGCGCTCTGATTTTGCAGCGCTGGATCTAGCTTCATGAAGCGCATGGCATTGCAAACTTACGTTTGTCGGGCCCAGGTCGTCGTAACGACTGTGCGGCTTAGGGGTAGCGGATGGTTTTGGGCTTATGGCATAAGATTTCGGTGTTTAAGGCAAACTTAGAATTGTGGGCTAGGGTTCCCTGAACAGGCTCGGCTTTCTCTCAAGGCCTTACCAGAGTTGCTTCTCACGAAGCTTTAACATTCGGACATGAATTAGTGAATTAGTCAAGAACTTGCAGGCGTAATACGCTTCATGCAAAAGGGCGCTAAGGCGTCAACGATGAAAGGTTTAGGGTGTCGGGACTTTGGGTTTAGGGTTTGGTAAAGATTCAAGACTGACAGAAAGGGAGCCTTCGTGAACTGCGCCGAAATGCGGACAGCGAAAGGAGCAGGTTTCAGGATTAATGAGCATAGCTGTTCTAAGTAAGTCGTACCAGGGACTTCGATGCCGTACGGCTTCAGCTGGAGGTTTTCGCGCACAGCGACTGGCAGACAGGGTTTCCAAAACCAGCAGCAGTGATTGCAGCAGCTGACTGCCCATGAGTCTTCTGCCTTTCACATGCCGATGATGCCGATGGTTCCCACTGCATCCCCAAGGGATGCTGTTTCACCTAGCATCAACTCGGACCTCAGCATCTGGCACCCGGAGAGTTCAGCGGTTGTCTGGTGCCCTGTTGGAAGGGTCTGGCAGGAAGCTGCAATCTAGTCCTAAGCAGTTTCATTAAGGGTTTAGGGCTGCGGATTGTCTGGCGGGTTGGAGGATGATGGTATCGAGGTCTTAGGATTCGAACTTGGTTAGGATAGCTGGTACCTTGTCGCTGTGGTTGATGTTTATGCAGAAAGCCGTATGTGATTCCGGACGGTTAAACTTGCCAAGTAAGACTGAAACGTTTCATGCTACTGTAGAGACGGTTCCAAATAGTAGCATCGGCTGCTTCCAGTGGCTGCAAGTATTCAATCCAATACCTGGCAGCAGTGCCATTCATCATCATCGCTATCATCATTCTGATCGTCAAAGTCATCACGGCCGCCACCGCCACACTCGTTGGTGACAGTCACAGTGCTGGTCTCTTGCAGGGCTACGCTAAGTCATCGTTGCCATGACCGTCAGATCCCATCCCTTTCCAATCCCCATGCGCAACGCTGGACCTGTGGGCTTGCTCCTTTCACACTCCGTGGCCTTTTTCCGCAGGCCGGCCATTCAAAGAGATGACAGCAGAGCACACACGGTCCTTCTATCTAGAGGCAGAAACCGCGACCGGAACCACTATGTAAGAGCCTGCATGGAGCTCGCCCCGTCACTGCCAAGCCCTCTTGAACAGCAATTGTCCGTTGCGGCGGAGCTCCTGACGCGATGGCGGGACAAGGTTACATGCCATTAACAGGTGCCGCGGATGAAGAAGACCCGTCTTGGCCTAAGGTTGTAGTTTCAACGCAAGTTTGTCAAGAAACGTTTAGGACCGAGTTTGCGTAGGTTGAAGAAAAGATTGAAACCCTGACCTTGAGGATAGGGATCTGTCGTCAACATCTCTTGCTCCGTAATTCTTCCCTCTTTGGACTCGTCATGTCGTGGTCGTCCTGGCCGTGGTTGTGATGACAGTTGTGCTGTCGTTTTTTCGTGACGTCATCGTCGTCTTCACACTACCGTAGCTCTCTGGCAGTGATCGCTGCTAGCTGCATGTATATATATATATATATAGATGTATGCGTTTTGGTTTTTTCTTCGAGGAACTTCTTATCGATTCCTCCTGTTGGCATTGCAGTTGTTCAGAGGGCCTTGGAGGTGAGAGAGATGTGTGGTTGTGAACAGGCCTGTTTTCAGCCCTTCGTTTCAGGATAGGTTGTTCAGAGTTGTGACTTTGGGGTGATTTTTTTTGGGCTTAGCAAGGAGAAGAGGGGTATCCGATTCGAGATTGCTAGCACAGGCGGCAGGAGCGATGTGTTCCTTCTGATGTCACTGAGCATGATGCTTGATTGAATGGTTTTGATTGTTTTCGTTGACGACAGTGATAGCGACGAGGATGATGACAATGAGGGTCAACATAGGCATGCGTGATGGTGATGGTGATGTCTGCAAGTCGATAAGAAGGAAAACGGAGATGCAGGTGGTGCTGATGAATAGTACGATGTTGATGTTGATGAGTTGGATTGGGACGACGACAATTTGCAGGAGAAGGTGCTTTCGAGTTCAGGGGTTCAGGCTAGTATTAGCAGTGCTTGTCTCCATCTCGACCCGTGAGGCACCGAGCTAGCGACTCCGCTCTCGTCGCCGCGTGAGGCAGCACGAAGGGGGTCACCGAGCGAGCAGGAAGCATGGAGCAATAGAGGCACAGAAACAGAAAGAGATGCGACATAGCGTTAGCCAGCTGGAGACGGAGACTGAGCGGGAGAACATCCTCCGAAGCCCGAGAGAACGCTGACAGACACAGGCGGACAGCGATAGACAAGCTTCGCGCCAAGGGACCGCCCTAAACCCGTTTGAAGCCTGGAAACCCGAAGCCCTAAACCTCGCCCGAGGACCAGGAACCTCGTCCAGGCTTGTCCGAGTGTGAGAGATGAAACCTTAGCCCTCAAGCCCTTGTCAGGAGCCACCCGGCCAATCAAGCGAAGACATCGCCGAGGACTGGCTCCTGAAGGTGGCGAGTGACACGGAGGCCGGTGCTGCAACGGTTAGGATTTAGGAGCTAGGGTTCAGGGTTTAAGGTTTGGAGTTTAGGGTGTAGGGCTTCGGGTTTTCAGGTTTAGACATTAGGTTTTTGGGCTTTGTGTTTAAGGTTTAAAGTTTAGGGTTTAGGGCTTAGGGTTTAAGTAAGGTTTAGAAGCGCGCAAGAACCGCCTAGACACCAGGCCCTCGTTGAGTCACAGAAGCTCGGTGCCGGCAAAATCTGGCGCGGGGTTGGTCTGAAGGCCGAATGGCACGGAAGAGAAACCATGAGCCCAAGAGCATGAAGCCCAGGTTGCGAGACTGCTTGAGAGACTGGCACATGCGAGACCCGGTATCCTCGATCGAGTAGTGGTCGGGGCCCCAGCGAGCTCGGGGCAACCCGAAGGCCCGAACGAACAGCCCGAAACCCCGAAGCCCGAAACCAAGCTGCTCTCGCCGAGCTTCACGTGCCACAGCTCTCCAAATCGAGATTCTACTGGAACTGCAGTGTGGACTCATTGATGGATTTCGTGGGTTTAAGAAGAAGTCCTTGGGTGCAGGGTGCATGCTTCAAGGTTGCTAAGGGAGCCGGCAGGCCGAAGGAGTGTTTGATTTGTCCCTGCAAGGCAGTTCCTTGGGGAGTCCCTTGCTTGGGAGCCCTTGGGGTTTCGGGTTTAGGGTTCACGTTCCCCTTGCGGGCCTAAATTTCGTGGGTCAAGTTCGGAGAGGTTTCAGCTTCAACACTCTACCCCACGCTTTTCTCTTTGGGCTTGCCTCACCGGCTGGGCGGAAGTAGACCCGAAAACAAGACTCAGGGCCCGAAGCCCTTGAGCTCCCACTCCAAAGAGTGCCGTAAGCCCAGCGGAGCCCGAAAATCTCCACACCCCAAGCAGCATGATCCAACAAAGCTCGAAAAAGCAAAGGAAGACAAGGCCTCGAAGCCCTCAAAACCAGAAGTGCGCCAAATCCCAAACCCGAGAAGCTCTAAACCCAAAAGCACCCAACCCCGTAATCTCAGAAGACCCAGGCTTAGAAACCCTTAGCATCGGAAGCCCGATGAAACCCTACAGAAGACCCGTCAGAGATACAGCAAGAATCATGAAACTTAAACGCACCCCTAAACCCAAGCCCAAACCGCCCAAGACCCTGCAACCTTAAACTCGAAGCCCTAGAAAGTACCAGGCTTTGGAGAAGAACATCGTTGCCACGCAGCAGGCGCGCCCCGCGGTGACTGCGCCGGTCGAGTCGACAAGGCCACATCCTCGCACAGATCTTCTTTTACTTTAGGGTATACTTATAAGGGTGCTTGTAAAGGTTAGGGTTTGAGTTCTGGGGTTTCGGGTTTCCAGTCTAGAGTCGAGTTGGTTGATTTAGGCGGTGCAGATGAAAGGGGCATTGTAGCTTTTAGGATTTCGGGCTTCTCGGGGTTATGCTGCAGGTGTCCTCGGCACCATCACCACTTGTCATTATCATTACCACTACCACCATAACCAACATCATCAGAATTGTCATCACCACCAGCGACCCTTGCAGCACGATCACCATCGTCAGCATCATCGCTTCTATTACCAAAAATTGCCGCGCCTTACGCATTTTTAGCATCAGCCTTGTCATTCCACAGTTGCTTCATGACTGCAGGATTTAGTGTACTCTGGCCGCACACACTCCATCGAAAAGATGCGTGCCATCGTACATGTTCGCAGCTGTGCACACATATATAGAAACACAGATAGTCGCAGCTGCAGACATGTGTGCATGCACAATAGACAAACAAAACGAAAATGTACAGTATGCATGTGCAAGATTCAAGAGACATACCTACATCTGCCTGCTCATCTTTCTGTCCGTCCATTTGGCTGTCTACCTAGCTGATCCTGCCTGTCTGTCTACCTACCTATCTGTCTGTCGATCTATGTGCCTATCTTATCTTATCTCTCTCTCCTCTATCTTACCTATCTGTCTTATCTATCTTAGTGTCTTAGTATTTATCTATCCACCTACCTACCTACCTACCTGCCTACCTACCTACCTACCTAGCTACCTACCTACCTACCTACCTACCTGCCTACCGACCGGTCTGCTCAGATCCACCGTCCTACCCATCTTACCTATCTACCTGCCTACCTACCTTTCCCAGCTAGCTATCTGTCTATCCATCCACTATAGATGCCTGAATAGTTGCCAACAAGCTAGGGACGCAACCAAAGCTGGCGACCGCGCCCTGTTGTGATTATTCTTTTGGAGACCCCAAACCTTCGTTCCGTTTACAAGGTCCCCCTGCGTGGGCTGTTGGATTCACAGATCTATGAATAATAGGTCCCCCTAGGTCGGCTGTTGGATTCACGGATCTATGAAGAATCAGCTTCAGATGTTTAGCGGTTTAGCGCTTGGTTTTTCTACTTCTTCCCGGAGTTTGTCAGCGTAGTCGCGCGCGCGTGTGTGTGTGTGTGTGTATACATATACATATACACATCATACACACATACACACATACACACACATACACACATACA